AAGTGTTGTACAGGACGGGGCGAGGTAGAATCATGTGACTGACAACTCATACTACTCCACCGGCAGCTGGACCACTCACCCTTCAGACTGGGGCATTCCAAGCGTATTGGTGAATGTTTACTGGTGCTCAAACAGGCAAGCAGATTGGTCAGATCAGTAGGGGTAGGTCAGACTCTTGTACAGCAGTCACCATTGGCATCGCAAACGCGAACCCAATTTGCGAGTGACATCAAATGAGTCCCGAGCAGCATGAGTGAAGGCGGAGGTCCAAAATATTCAGCTGCTGTTCTGCCACAGCAAAGAGAAGTTGGCCGCACCTGCAGGCCTATTCTGTAGCCCCGCCTCCCCTTGCCTGAGCTGTAGTGAGGCTCTTGCACTGACCGTTGCAGAGACTGATTAGAATATGAGGCATCAGTTGGCAGATAGGTTACTCAGCTTTAGGATGCGGATTCAGAGCACATCCTGTTATCGAAATTCTATAGTAGGCCCCAATGAAAAACCTTTAGCCCTGGCCAGCCACCAAGGAGGGAGACGTTTACCCTTCGGCTGTGCGACAGCTCAAGGCAGAACTGCTCCGCATGCTGCCTGGAGCTCAGTGCTTACTTTGAGATACCCTCAGTGCTTCAAAGAGGTTCCAGAACCTATCTTTGATGAGAGACGAGAACGTTGCCCAATCCTGGGAAAGCTGACAGCCACAAGTAGGGCTGCAGTCTGGTGCGGGGCTTGACACGCTGGACCTCAGGCGTTGCTTTATTCTCCCAGTTTGCAGACATGGGATGTAGTGTCGGTCATCTCCTGTTGCTGTGCAGTAGTTACCACAAGCAGCGCCCATATATGCTTCCTCGCCACGGCTACCTCGCGTCACGTCTTGAAAGCCCCACCAATCAGAGTGAAGCACGTTTTTGTGGTACTGCAAGCCGAGGCTCTCCCTCATGGAGGCACCGCTCTGCCACTGCTCCTGGAAGCAGCATGGGCTTTGTGGGAAATCCACAATTGATTTGAACCTGTCTGCCCTTCAGCTGCCCTTTCCTAACCTCTGGCTGCCTGGGCTTGAGGGTTGTGATGCCAAGCGAGTCTTTGTGTTTAGGAATAGCAGGTGGCTTTTGACTTGAACTCACTGAGCAGTTTCACAGCAAGCGGTGACACTCTACCTCACCTCCAGACCTCGCAGGCCAGCCCAACTCAGTTTGAATAGCCGGGCTGTCGGATGGCATCGAAACCAATACGCATGTTTTTGGAGCAGTGCCCGCATACTTGTGAGCTCCTCCAAACAGCCCCAATATCTCCAGCAATCCATGAAACATGCTTCAGAGTGAAGGGTCCCGGAGATTGACTTTGACTTCAAACATTGACTTCAAACTTTCTCGAAAGTTCTGGCTCCCCTAAAATCTAATCCGCAGATCTGCCTCCAACATAGTTGAGCACTTGGAACTACAGGGCTCTGGCCTTGCCGAAACCCCTGCACTCTTTTGCCCCTGTGATGACCTGGTTGCGGGCACCTTGAAGCCGCAAGGGACGACTGGATACGCGGATCCACCAGACCATCCTCCAGCGTTTGTGCCCAAGTGCTAGCTGTTGTCATGGTGCTGCAGCCACGCGACCACCACCAGTGCCAGCCGCCGCCGCCGCCGCCACCGCTACCGTGCCGCACTGCCATACCGCCGCACCACCGCTGCCTCCACCACCCCCGCGGACACCACCATCCCCGGCAGCGGTACCTGAATCGAGTGATACAGTTGGGAAGCAGGCTGCCTGAAACTTGTGGTGACCACGAAACTTGGCTCTGTTTCACGGCATGGAGAACCCCGGCACAATGATGCTACCAAACTATGCTTGTTTTGGAACAATTACATTATTCTGCAGTCAGGTGGTGATCCTCTGGTCATTCGGGAGCGTATCGAGTTGACAGCTCAGGGCCTTGGATCCAGGTGATGTATTGACCATCAGCACTGCCCCGGATGAGTGTAGTCAACTTCATGGACTTAATTGGCACTCATGCTTTGTTTTTCTCTATTGGCTTGATTTGTTTGCACAGAACTCGTAAGTCTCTTTTCAGAAGTTTCGTCCTTGTGCCGTAGCACCAGGAGTGTAGACCTAAACAAGCAGCGCGCAGCATGCAGGCGAATGAGTGACTCCGAATGCCGCAGCTGGTTGCACCTAGATTCGAGCAAGAGCTGTGACGGTCACTTCCTGAAAGGCCAAAGCCTTCGGAGGTTGTTTCTGCTATTTGCATCCACGATTCACCCTGCATCCAACTGACTTTCATTGCCACGGTCCACAGTCATTACAGTTTCTGAATTCAGTCTAAAGGCTACAGGCTCCAGGAATCAGCAGTAGCAAGCAATGGCTTTGGACAAGCTGACGATGCCAAGGACTCTTGTCTGAAATCAGACGTGTATGCAGGTAGGATATCCCGAACCTGTAGGGGTTCGACAAGGCCTGACAAGGCTTGGAGTTTGTCATGCAAGCAGGTGCATTTTACGTCACGGCTGTTTAGAAGATCGGGTTACGAGTTTAGGGGAACCTGTAAGCTTCCTCCACAGGAGGTGTGACATGAATGAACCAATGCTTACATGGCGTAGTCTTCGTCAAGGGTATCAGGGTTCAGAGAGGCGGAGTGGTTTGGAGGACCTTGAGCTGTTCACTACAGCAAGTAGGCATTGCAGTTTCCATTGTTAAGGAGGCTTGGCGCGGTATTGTTTTAGGGTGTGGATGGGATTCGCTGGGTTGGTTCAGACGTGCTTGGAGTTGATGTAGAACCGGAGTGGAGCCTTCATGGGGCTGAGGTTTGGGGCTTCTTGGAGGGTCCAGCGGATGAGCAGGGCTTTGATCATGAACCCATCAAGGTGGGATTGAGCTGCTACTCTTCTTCTTGCGCAGAGATGTACGAAGCCATGTTCTGCTAGGGGTCAAGAGACCAAGTGCTTCAGTGATCTTGGATTCATACACTGTAGCACAGCCAAACAGGTTTTTGAGGAGTCGTCCTACCATTCAGGAATACATAATAATACAGATACCTCCCATAAAGCCTTGCTGCTCATTGTTGAGATGCCAGGGCTGGCTAGATACTCAGCCTAGACAACCTGCAAGAGAAGCAATTCTTATTGCAGCTCCTTGTATTGTACCTTCCCAGGCACGGGCACCGGCTACCCGCACCAAGACATTGGAGGATTGCTCAGCTAATTCTGGCCATGAGCTGTAGTCCAACTGCGTTGAGGTGAGCGGGGAGCTAGGCCATGACTCGACGTGTCGACTTAGACTTCTGATCATGGGTTTTCCGTAGGGCACGCGATTCGGGAGGTATGTGGCCTGCATATGAGGGGGTATTTCAATGTGTGTGGGCGCCTGAATGTATGTATATATCTAGGGATATTTATCTCTATATATATATATATTTATACATATGTTTATGTTTAAAGGGGGGCTGACAGGATTCAATTCCTGCCCTCGGTTCGAATACGTAATGCCTTGTCAGTAGAGCTTCTGTCGGGATCCCGAAGCAGCGACCAACTTGGTGGCACTTGCTCACTTGCGAGGGGAGGGCCTAACGTTCAGAGGGTTTTGGGCTGTCTGGGGTACAAGACGATTCGTAGCGATGCACCCTGCGCCCTGGAAAGAGTCAGCAACACGCAAGAGCCGGTTGTCGATGTTGAGAACTGTTCCGGGGTGCTGGCCTCAAACTCCGACACCCCTAGATTCCAGATTGACAAACTTGATGAGGGGGAGGCCTCATGTTCAACTCTCTACATCTGTTAGACGCGAATGGCTCACTGGCAGGCAACATACAAATACCGCACCGTCATTTGGCATGGATGATTGCGTCTTGCATAATGGCATAGCATCTTGATGACGAGATGGCAGTAGCCAACACTACGTAAATTATGTTGAAGCTTGGAAGCCCGCAATCGTTGAGAAGAAGTTGCCCAATTGTCAGTCCCACAGCTTTGCAGGCCATGTGGCTCCAAGCTGCAGGTTAGCAGTCAGTCACTGAGCCTAATCTGAGCAAGGCTGTCCCTGCGAAAAGCTGGTTCGAGTCATTGCCTCAAAAGGTAGTGCACGAGTGCCATGGGAAATGCTCAGCAAATTGAGTTCTACAACCGGGGTTGTGCCAAGCTTGATCTCGGCAACTTGCAGGGCGCCATGGAGGACTATGACAGGGCCATAGAGCTGGACCCGAAATTTGCAGATGCTTTCAACAACCGGGCTATTGCCCAGCTTGCTCTCAGCAACATGCAGGGCGCCATGGAGGATTGTGACAGGGCCATAAAGCTGGACCCGAAACATGCACTTGCTTTCAGCAACCGGGCACTTGCCAAGCGAAAGCTCGGCAACTTGCAGGGCGCCATGGAGGACTATGACAGGGCCATAGAGCTGGACCCGAAATTTGCAGATGCTTTCAACAACCGGGCTTTTGCCAAGCTTGATCTCGCCAACATGCAGGGCGCCGTGGAGGTTTGTGACAGGGCCATAGAGCTGGACCCGAAACATGCACTTGCTTTCCGCAACCGGGCACTTGCCAAGCAAAAGCTCGGCAACATGCAGGGCGCCATGGAGGATCATGACAGGGTCATGGAATTGGACCCGCTCGGTACTGCTAGTCTCCGCCGTTTAAAGTTGACAGCGGGCACGACGAGCTCCCTCTTGCGGTGGGCAGTTGTTGGTGCCGGGCCGGTCGGCTTGGCACTGGCCCTGCGTATTGCGATGTCATGAAGTCCCAGAGCTGGGATCGCAAAAAGGCCTGCGTGACCGTCTACGAGACACGAGTGCAGCAGGAAAGAGACAGCTGGCAGCGCCGAGGGCGCCGAAGGGGTCAGGTGGTCATGCTCCAAGACGATGTGACCTCATTGTGGCCGGAGAGAGTCTGGCCTTCCTGCTGCAATGTGGCAATCCGGGATTTGGAGGACTCTGTGCTGGAAGCTGCAGCGCAGCATCAGCACATCCGGATCGTGCAGGCTCCAGCGGTCAAGGAGCCTGCGGACCAGCGGAAGATCCTGGAAAACATGGAAGCTGACATTGTGGTAGCTGCATTTGGCGCAGCGTCGCTTTGCCGGCGCGCCTTTCCCGAGACCTTTCGCAGCCCGGATGCTCCGCAGAGCACAGACCGCACACGCCTTGGAGACACAGATGCTGCCCTCAATCCTGTGGAGTATGCCCTAGGCGCCTCATGGTGACTCAAATTTTGCTTTCGGCTTCGAAGTCTTCCCTTCAGTGGGTTTTTGCTAGCTATTACTGTATGTGCTTTCCACACTTCAGCAGTTTCCAGGCGTGTCGCTCAAAGACGACCCAGATCCGTCGAAGGGTCGCCCGCAGAGCCAGAACGTCATCCTGACTCTCAGCCAGAACCGCTTCCTCCTCAACTCAGAGAGAGGCGTTGGGGCGGGAGCAGTGTGCACAAATATCACGCGACAAGGCAGCTGTCACTGACATTTTGGCTATGATGCGTCTCCACATGCAGTTGAGTCCGCGCAGTGGAAGTCTACATGTTTAGGATCGCTTTTGGATTACTTCTGGTTACGCTTTGAGACATCTAAAGGACGACCTGCTACCAGGCAAGCGTGGTTTTCTCAACGTCCGAGTGACACGGACGGAGTACGAGGAACTCTTCGCTGTCGCTGGCAAAGCTGGCTGCGAGTTCGGCAGCCCCATTACTTTGTATTCCGACTTTGCCGAGGCGGCCAAGGGAAGTGCCAGAGAAGGCGCGCCTGATGCAAATTTCCAACGGTCGCAGACTGATGCACTCCAGAGCTCGAGGCTGTTTGGAACATGTACCGATGTATCCATTGGTCTATCATCTTCTCATTACTTGGGCTATGGGCTTTAGATCTCATATCCCGAAAAGTCATGGAGGTCCAACGGATTTCTGAGCAGGTTTGAGCTTCAGGAGTTCTTAGGGTTTTGCTGAGGCTGTGGACTACTTCAATGGGCTTGAGGGATCTAATCCGCGCTGTTGATTGACAAGGGCGCCCCCCCTTATCCACTATTCCAGGAAGTCTAGACCGCAAAAGGGAAAAGTAATTCATGCAAAGTATTATAGATGTTAAATGATTTTTGAACTGGCTGCTAATTCGAATTTTGATGGGCATAAATTCAGTTGCAATGTGATGTTAATAATGCAGCTGGATTCGTTTGAATCAGTCTTAAACGGATTTCAGTGTGGGTTTGCATTGGCTAGCGAGCATTTTACTTAGAATTTCTGAAGATGTTACTAGATGCTCAGTAACACTTACTTGTCCCCATTAGAGTAGGATTGCTTTTAAACAGATGATGTTTGATTAGGTTTAGTTGATGTCGAATAGGTTTGTATTGATTGAAAGCAGGTTGCAATTGTAAATGGACGTGAAACTAATGACTCAATGACCCTGAAAACATTTGCCATCATACTAGGGGGTTTTGCACACATCTAAAGAACAATCCTCTCATGCAAGGTACGTAAGCGGTAGCTCAGAAAGCAATGTTTGAGCCTTTAGTTTCTAATGCATTCTCATAAGCAATTCACATGTCAGAATCTGCATCCTTCATCGGGATTTGAGGTTTCAAAATTCTTGCTCTATATCGTTTAGAACCCTAGGTTTTGAATGTAAACCTCCAACCTAAACCTGGGTATGTTTTTAGGATCTGGGAATACTTTGCTTTGAATCTCTGGGGCGTTTGGGCCCAAGACTGCCTCTGCCTTTAAAGTTATCTTTGACCCAGAATTTGGCCCAACAAGTTTGCTTTAAATCTGGGCTTTCTAATCAAGAGCGCGGATTACGTGCGTCGCTGAGGTGTGTCGACAAAACCGAGAAACTGAGACCCCCAATTTGCTTGCTGCTACAACTGCAAGATGCAACACTGCCACACCTTGGGAGAATCGATGGGGCGATAGGTGGACAAGCTTAGTTAAGTTTAGTTGTTCAGCTTAGGGTTTCGGAAACATCCGTGTCACAGATTGTGATGCCTCACATTGACATAGTCGCTCGACCGGCCGCCTGTATCATTCTCACACGACCTACGTACTTGCAATGATTTATTTGGCTGAGCTATGGAGGGTAAAGGCGTGATGTCTACTTTGCTGTGCGCCAGGAAAAGTACTGTTGATTGAGCGTCTGTCCTGAACTCAGAATTTCTTCCTTGGAAGGCGCACGGATGCTTCCGAAAGAGACCATCAAGCAAGGGCTTGCCCTGCATCTTGGCCCTCCTGGAAGATCTTGTTTTTTCTGGAGTCTGGTAGGCATGGCATAGTTCTCCCTGCAAAGCCCCTACGCTGAGCCAAGGTTTGGCCTTCAGGAGTGTGTAAGTCACTGTAAGCCTTGACGTCATTGGATCGGTTGTTGGGTTTAAAGGAGCACGTTATCGGAATAGATTTGCTTAACTTCTGCATGTTTTCCACTTGACTGCTTCCGGGGAGCTGAAGTGAAAGCGGGGTTCAAGCAACTGGAGGAATTTTGTCTGAGTTGCTGTACGTCTAAGACTGGAAGCCAATGAACACAGGGACCTGTACAGGAAACCGGCCTACACCAATTTTTCGACTCCCATCTGCCTGGTCCATGTAATCTCAGAGCCCAGGTATGCGCAATGCTTCTTCCACAAAATTACGGCTGGATCCTACCTTGTGTTGGTGGCTGGGCAGTCCATAATCCTCGAGAGTCCACGAAACATGGTTTAATTTCTTGTTACACTGAATCACTACAACATCTATGCTGTGATTCCTTGGGGAGGTATGCAGAGTGCAACAATTGGTAAAGTTCAAGCTGCATGAGGGCGTTACTAGGCACACCGCCAAGGAGGGTTGTCCGGAAAGGGCTCCTTGAGGAGTTCTTTCACGTAGCGATTTTTCTTCACCACACGGCCTTGGAATATACCCGAGCTAAGGCTCCCACGAAACAATCAAGACGTTGTTATGTAAATGCCTGACTGGTCACGAAGAATCTAGCCTGCCTGCACACGAGTGAACCAAATGTAAAACTTAGCTGGCCAGCGCGTTCCAGTTCGGTAGGCCGCCAAGAGCCCCCAAACTTGACGTCTTCCCAGGTGAGAGATGCCGCAATCTCGCATCATTTCTGGCCGGGCCGAGGTCTCAACACGAGTTTGCGCCTCGCGTTTTGTTTGATGGGACGGCTCAGGTCAGACTGAAGTACCACCCACGATTGCTTAGGAGTCCAAGGTGTAGGGGAGAGTGCAAAAAAGGGTGCCAGATGTTGCCGGTGTTTTTACAGTGTGTCGCAGCGTCCATTAGTCGGCAGCTTCTGACAGCGTGGGGCATGGCCGGCAAATCTTCGGTGGTTCGTGATATGTCTTCATTGAGGTTGTGGCTCGCGGTTCAGGGTCCAGGAGCCCGCACGTTATGGGATTGACTATTCATGGGGAATCTGCCGCGGACGTAGGATGATCGATTGCATGTGTGCAGGTCAAATTAGGTCTTCTGTTGACGCATTGCCTCTTTGCTTCTCTTTGTTGTTTCTTTTTGCTTTCTGCGCTCCTTTACTCTTGTTCCTTGTTCCAGACATATGTCAGGCCTTGGATCTTGCTGATTTTCATCTGAGTTGACTTCTCGGGCAGATCACACACTCAGGAAAAGTGCTGATGCCTTGGTCAGAGCATGGTGCGGAAACTGCTCGGAGCCCAACTGGGGCGTCACGCTCCCGCGGCTTCAACAGTGGCAGAAGTTTATGGAGGACAGACACTGAAACATGGGAGCTTGGGAGCCCAAGACTCAAATCTGCAATTGCCGAGCTGCTTTGGAAGTCCGCTTGCACGGACCAACTGGCTGAAGCAATCATTTGGCAGAGTAACTTGGTTACCTTGATGTACCCTCGCTAGTTGAGAAGGAAGCTCTCAACACAAGCTGCTCCTCTGCCCACCAAAGCGCCAAGCTTACAAAAGTCGAAAGTCCTGTTTTATGGGAAGTTGAGAACTCTTTCCTCTGACAGCTGTGTTTTTCTTGCAGGACCTGAGCGCGCGCGAGATGCAGGGAAGGTCCGGCTCCATGATGCGTTAGGAGACGTCTTGGGAATATCAGAGAAGGTTCAGCGTGTGGAGGTGATGTGTGATAATGTATGGGTTGGTGCGGTTCGTAAGCGAGTATGACATGAAGCCTAATCAGTCCCCCGCTGTCCCTGACACGATCCCTCATGGATGATGCATGTTGGTCCCTAAACAACCCTCATGAAGCAAACTTGCCGAGCTCCTGCAAAGACGTGCAAAGACGACTCATCCCTGTTGATGAGCTTCTTCCTACGGTCTGCGAGGAGAATGCCCTACCGACCTTTGTCGATGACCTCATCCACCCTGGTGCGGCTAGGAATGCGGTCAAAGCTGAGGCTGTATGTTCTTTGCGGTGCGCTTGTTCATCAGATTTGTTTGGTTTGTGGTGTCTTGTAGGATGCCACCTAGGTCATAATAATGCTGTCCCTTTCCACGATACATCCGCAAAGTGCGCGTGCATTCAGTACATGTTGTGGGTGCCAAAGTGAGGCGTGCCAGTGATGAATGGTGGTCTCCGTATAAATTGTGATATGTCCAGATGTCCAGGCAGTCCTTGTATGAATTCACGGTATCCCTGGAAGCTCCAAAAATTCAAGACTGCAAGCCCAGATAAACAGACGTTATAGGGCCAGGGCTCCTTCCATCCCAAGCAACTTCTGAAACTGAAGAGCTCAAATGAAGTGAGCAGGTCCGCCAACTGCTGGGGCTAGAGTTCCACCATTATGTCATTTTCGGATGGTGATGGTTTTGGTGTTTGGGTCCGAACTTCGAATCTATAGTCTCTGTCAGGCTGCCGGAAGGTGATTCTGCAAGTGGTGGGGGGCAGAATTCAGCGGACCCTTAGCAAGGACCAGCAATGGTGGACCCGATTTGGCATCGCGTTTGCTTCCTTTCTCCACCCCTAGGACCGTCTCGAATCTTTACCTCAGGCCCTGTTGTCCATACGCCTCTGAAGGCCATCGCGCATGAACAGTCAAACCGGGCAGCAATGCTCGAGAACGCCATTGGCTGGCGAGATTTCTTGCAGAGGCACTGAGTTGAGTCGTTTTGGAGTTCTAATTCTCTCTGCAGGAATTGGGATTAGGATTCACGTGGCCCAGTGTGACAAGAGGACCCCTGATTGTCGGAGGACGCAACAGACTCTCAATCATGCCCCCGTTCGAAACAGGTTGGGAGAAACACTTAGACCCGCTGTGTGCCTTTTCGGACCATATGCCCTCTGTGAAAAACTTGGATTGTGGCATTATGGGCCCATATGAAATAACTGACACCCAACTCCGGAGGTAGAATCTGCATAGTTACCAGTAACCCTTGGCTGGCGTCCCTATTCTAGAGGCAACCTGGCTGGCCCCACAAGCCAGTCTCTGACGCGGAGCTGGAGGCGAGGTGCTGGCAAGCCAGTTTTTTCACATACAAAGTAAGCAACCTTGGCGCAGAACAGAGAAGGGTCAGTGTTGTGGTTCTCTGGAGGGCTGCGAGACTTGGCATGCTCAGGGAGCCTACTTGTGTAGGATGGAAGCTTTCAGGGTAAACGTTTAGGCCTCAATACACTACATCACTTGCAGGATTGCATAAGGCCACCATACTAGTTCAGTGCCCTTTTGAAGACAGCTGCTGGCCAGGGAGCCCTCCTGCATTACGTGACAAAGCCCAGCCCCCGGGCAATGCAGCTCGGGCTGCATGCAAAGGCTTGCGCATGCGCTGTAGCCACGCTTTCTATGGCATGGGAACGAGATCTCAAGTGTCCATCTTTGCAGGCTGGCTGAAGTTGCGAGCCTGAACCGCCGAGGCACATTATGACCCATAGTGCGTGCGACAACGGACCCGGTCGCGCGCGCGGGTGGCCGACCTCCCAGCAAGGCGGCCCCGAGGTGAACCCAGCAGATCCAAGATTCTGGGCTGAGGAAATGTCCCAGGCCCTCATGCAAAGAATTGCTCAGCAGGCTCGCTCTCAACAGCTTGAGCCGCTGATGGCCATGACAGCCATGTTCCGAAGTATGTTGCCATGTTCAGTTTTCTAAACACTTTCTTGCTTAGTATGTCTGAAAAAAGGCCGCCACAAGTGCTGCCTAGTCGATCTTGCAGTGTGATGCTCTTGCCAGTCTTGTTCTTCAAGAGACTGGTTGGACCGTGCGTCCGGCCATCACGGGCAAATGAGATGTTGCCTACGCGGCCTGCAAGGCAGCTTTAATGGATCCATCCGAAGCTTTATCGACAGAAAAGTGCGGGTAAATGGTGCGACTGGGAGTTGAATGCAAGATCTACCGCCAGAATACGACAGTGTTTCTTTCCTCTACAATCATTGTTCCCATATTTTCCGCTACAATGTTACAAGTAGACCTGACACTTGCCATTCTATACTGACATATCATGCCGGCCCCTGTTGAGACATACCCAAATGGCCTCAAACTACCATGCTTCAAGTTTTAGGCCCATTCCTTCCTCCCGGCAAGATTCAAAATCCATCAGCGTTGTCTCGTTGGCCGAGGCATCGGGAGTAAATGAGGAGCTGGTCAGTTCTGGTCCCGTGGGGGGATCTCAACACAAGGATCACCAAAAAATGGAAGTCCCTCCCTAAACATAAGTGGACCCAGAATGCAGGGGTTGACAATTTTGTGAAGCACCCACTTCGGAGGACCTTGCCGCTGGCGCTCCACCATTGGCCTCATGCTTGAGCTGCCTGCGTGCTGACGTCGCCGAAGAGGAAAATGATCACAGGTGCCAGTGCGCGTTTCTGGCGTGTAGGGAACAGTTTTAAATTAGCCTTCAGACTTGGGCTTCTTGCCAAAGATTGAGACATGATTGAGGGTGTTGGGGTTAAGGCTAGTGATTTTGGGCTCGGCTTGGAGTTTCAATTCGCATTGTTTCTGGCGCCCTGACCTGTCCCGTAAGCAGTCCTTGGAAGGAGTGGCTCAGGATCCCTACGTCAGGGCATTGGAATCTGTTATTTCTCCGTTGCAGGTTGAGAAAGACAAGCCCGCTGCTACTCAAGCGCACTGCGGCCTCAAGAATTTGTGACAGTGCATCACGCTGCTTTCCGCATGCATAATCCGAGATTCGTCCAACAGGTAAAATTTGCTTGCTCGAGCATATTCTGAGCACACGCAGGAGGCGTAAGAACTCAGAATATGGGCATAACCTCTGCTGCACGCCAACTTCGGCGAGGAGCTCCACTTGCGAGCTGTCAGTCGCTGGTCGTGACGAGTCTACCTGGACTACTTGGAGGTGGGCAGTCAGCAGCGGGTTATTCTGCAGCGCGTTTAGGCATAGCAGGGCAAGTGCAGCCACGAGAAAGATTTGCGACCTCGGCACGTGCAACCACCTCCAGGTGCAACTACGGCCTAGCTTGATAGTTATGACGTGGCGATCATTCGTAGGTCGCACATCATCTTTTTCTCTGTGTATGTTGGCCATGGTTGACTGGACATGCGGTCAACCCAGCAACAAAGGGCCCTGGCAAAGCGGGAGCTGTGTTGATGGTTGCTGTGCATTAAGTAGGAGAGGTGTGTCTCAGTGAGAAAGCTTTGAATCAATTTGAACCGGGACTCTACCATCAATCCATGAGTAGCTAGTTGGCCTTCAGCAGGTGGAGATGACGGAGAGCGCGGCCTTCGTGGAATTGTCTTTCTAATCTGAGCTGCGACTCAGCCTTGCTTACGCCGACCCCAAAGGTCCGCCTGCAGCCGAACTGTAGCATGTTAAAGCCATTTCCTGAGAAGCTAGTCCGTCGCTTGCAGGGATGTGACACGCATGGATGACTGGTTTGGGGCGTTTGCAATGCACTTGAGGGTTGAAGGATGTGTGACGGTGTAGAGGGGTTCTCAAATCGTACAGCAGCTTTCATACAAGAACAGTAGCATACGGAGTTACTACTGAATCAATCGGCTGCGTGCCCCCTTAATCCATTAACTACACCTCGCCGTCAATCTTCAAAAAATGGCTTGATCCTCGGAAGAGTAAGACACATAGCTACGAGTCCTCTTAGTGGTCGGCTTAGCTAGGGGCACATCCGCAAGTTTAGGGGTAGTGGAGCAGTGCACGCTAGACTGAGTTCGGCGCCACCCGCAAAGAGGAGGACATTCGGACTGAAAATACATAATTATTCCGGATTTGGCCACAGTTTGAGTCTAATTTGTGTAGAGCAACGGGCAGTGAAGCAAAGGATCCCATTATCTAAAGCATTTGAGTCGTGCTCATGTATGGTTGAACCTGTTTGGGCTCGAACAGGTACCCGCGGCCCTAGGTGCTTGATATAGCTTGCCGCCCAGTACCTTTGAGAATGCTGGCCATACTTGCGACGTGGCTTTGCATGTCCGTTGCTGCCGAGCATCTGTGTTGAGATTTAGCATATGCACGGGTTGAGATATTCATTGGTACCCTAGCTTAGGACCCACTGCTTAGAGGCTAGCTTTGGGTTCTGTGAGGGTTTACCAACAACGTGATTCTACGACTCACCTAACCACAGGGTTGAAGTAGTGGCATGTCGCGCTCGTCAACTCTACGCTTCAATCCCTTAAGCCTTGAATCCCAGGTATGAGTCTTGGTCTCTGGTGCTCATGGAGGAAGCCGTGGGGCGTGGGGCTGTTTGCCTGGACGGCTCACCAGCAGGACGGGTGACTTGCGGAGATCCATTATTTCGAATCGCATTCAGGTGTACTGGCTCCAGGGATATCTGGGGCTACTTGTTGTAAAGCTCCACGGTGAAGGGTTGTTACTTCGAAGGCCAAAACAGGGGCGTGACAGTTGCTCTTGCTTGATTAGGAACTGAGTAACTGAGCTATCTTCACATCAGCTCAGTTGCTGCAGTGTACTGTATCGCTTGCAGCAGTTCACGCATCACTGCTGGTATTATGTTGCTGCCACGTGCACCAGGATACTTCTTCGAAAGAGGCCGGCGTGCCAAAAGTCGAAAAATGAAGCTTACGTTGCACCCAATAGCAGAGAAGGAAGGAGGCACAGTGCGATTTCCACCTCAGAGCCCTGTTTGCTGTAATGGGCACTGTTCGGGAGGCAGTGCATGCTAGTCTGAGGGTTGGGCATACAACGGGCAAATTTTCCCAAGTTCTTGCGATTTTTTAAGTGCAAGAAACACAGACAATTCCTTGGGCCTTGGGTAAAGAACCTGGCCACATAACAACAAGAGGTCCCAAACCCGATATACCCTTACGCAATCCCTGCCATAAGCTGGCACACAAGCAAGCAAGATCTTGGAAGCGAGGCTGGGGCAGCGGCGCCGACCAGTGGGTGGTCCATTTTCAGGGTGGCGGCTGGTGCAGCTCGGCTGTGGCCCAATAGGGTGGGGGAGTGTGGTAAGGGAATTCCCCGAAAGAACTGCTCCCGAGCTACTGCATCCTTTTAACTGAGCATTTGCGCTGCGCCGTCTCAAAAATTCTGAGGGCTACAGCTTTTTGTTCCAGACATGCACGCATCCCGAAAGTAATTCCAGAAGGTCACATTCAACTTGGACCCTTGCAACGCATTTCCTGATATCTGTATCCCCCCCTATAGTCCAGATACTGAAGAAAGACACGACTCCCCCAACTCAAGGCCAGAAACCCTCATGTCAAAAGCTTCGAGCATATTGGGGCTTTTAGGCCTCTCAGCAGCTCATGTAACAGGCGCAAAGAAAAGACCTGAAGCAACAGCCTTCAGCCAGCCCAGGCATAAGCCTTGAAGATTGCCTGGCTAGATCCAAGACAGTCTTGGGGAGCAGCAAATTCTTTGCCGCCGAGAAGAGCAAGACTCTCACCTGGGGTGCCTGCACGTAAAAGAAGCGACAGTAGGGTTTGGGGTTGAGGGTTTCAGGGGTTTGGGGCCCGGATGCAAAAACTAGTTGAATTGGGGGAATACAGGGGCCTGGCTGTAGTCCCTTCTGGGGAATTTGCACTGAGGAGGTACACCCTGCACCTTCTACCTCTACTTCCATAGTCCGACTACTACGTCGGAAGAGCTGGAAGCTTACGTTGGGCACCCCCAAGATAAATTTGTTTGTAGTCCATATGCTCAGACCACAATTTCAAATATCTGTGAAGGGGTTCAGCTTTCGCTGCTAGTCTTTTGTGTACGTGCGCTTTTTTGAACATGAGCACCTGTGAATGTGAAACCAGTGAAGGTGACGGAGGCGTAGGCGGCTACTTGTCCAACAAGAGCAGCGTGAACCCCGAGATGTACAACTGGAACAAGGCGGGTGGGCGTCAACAGTTACTGTCACGCACGCACGTAGCAGGGAGGCCCACCCTGTAAGGCAGCGCGGCTTTGCAGAGTTTTTCCCCCGCCTTATTCAGAACTCGTGCTGAGAAAATAAGAGCCCAAGCAATTCCTACTGTGAAATTGCCAGGCCTTCGTGGTATATTGCGATGGTGGAAGCAGGGCTGGCAACGTGGCAGGTACCTGGTGGGAGCTGGCAAGAAGACTGAATCATTGTAAATGTCTGGCATGCCTTGCAGACACTAATTCTAATATGTAGTGTAACAGGCATCTAAGGTTTACAGCTCAGGGGTTCGGGTTCTAGGGTTATGTAGATCTTTTGAGGGTGGTCTGGGTGTATAGTGCAGGGCCGACCCGGGGTTTACTGGCAGGCCCTGTCCATGTTGGAAACGAAACAGTCTTCTTCCGCGGAGCGCAGATTCTGAACGCCACCCTGGAAAGCCTTGCTGACGCTGGGCTCCGGAGAGCGCGAAACCTCATTGCTCTCCGCTGCAACGAGCAGAGTCTTTCCTAGGGGTGGTCCAAGGCTTTTTGCTAGTATCTACCGAGGCTGCCAAGCAAATTTTGCAAACTTCTTACTCCGAGGTTGGAGGGTGCTCTGCTGGTGGCCTGACAGTGTGGCTTCATCTGGATTATATACGCCAGCAGTTCCCTGCAACTCGCGTAGTGGGATTGCCGCAGTGCGGCTTCTTCATGGACCTCCCCAACTACGCGGGTAGCCCACACTACACGCCGCTCTACAGATGGTTGTTTGAGACCATGAACATGCAGAACTCGCCCTCCCTGCGTCCGAAGTGCTCCTGGACTGACCTTGGACACCGGAGATGGCCTAATGAAAAGGATCATGCCCTCTTGTCTGAGGTTCGTTTATACGAAGGGTGTTGTGATCTGTCACTCCCTGCCTGAGTGGAGGCTTGACATGCGCATGGAGGCTCAAATGCCGAAAGTAAAGCTTTAGTATGCAGCATGTGTTAATTTTTGGGTGGTGAAGCACCAAGGCTGAGATTCCTGCAGCTTCTCGCCATGTAAAGAAGCAATGAAAGCAAGACACAAGGAGCACACTTTGGAGAAAACAAGCTCTTTCAATACCTGTAAGCGCCTAGGTTCCTAGATTGATGAGATGCCAGTTGCACAAGCATCAAGACGTTGTGAACTCTGAACCTAAAGCCGTACGGACAGACTCCAATTCCAAGCATGTCTCCAACTGCAGCTAGGCTTTGAGCAACACGCGGAGGAGCCCTGGAGGTGTTTCATGGCTCAGTACCTGGAGACTTCAGAAGTTTCAGTATTTTCAGTACTTTCAGGGTCGGGGTTGAAGTCGTAGTGTTTTGGGGTTGGAGTTAAGCTCAGCGTGTGAAGTACGTCCTCAGCATGGCTTAGGTACCTCCTTCCTTTCGTGGAGACGCCCGTCTTCGTGGCCACTGAGACAGATTCAGAGCTTAGGCCAGGGTAGAGAGGTGACTTTCAAGTGCATAGGGTTGCTTGTAGTTGTTGTAATGTTGAATCCTGATTAGCGCGGGATCCCCAATAAAGTGAAGCTTTCAAACAATTATTCTGGACGCCCTGTTCGATTTGGGTGGTCCCAATAAAGTAAAGTTTTTTGTACCGGAAAAATTGAAGGGAAGGTTTTGATGAGGCCAACATGCTTGTAGTTTTAAAGCCAGCTAGTTCTTTACATCGAAAAGGACAGGCTCTATTATCCCTCGATTTTGAAATTTGATGCTGCCAATAACAACCGATTTCTATGAAACCGCTTGTTCGAACAGGGCCCCAGGCAATCAAATTCCATAAAGGGGGTAGTCCAGCAGAGCCCCTGATCCCCAATAATAGAAAAGATTTGGGCGGGGCGCATTAATGTAAAGGTTTCATTAATGTAAAGTTTTTGTTGGCTGGGTTATTGATGAGGCCATTCTAATTGGGTTTGAGTTGTTCCGAATTTAAGTCTCATTGCTTTTGATTGATTTAAACTAGATTTTCTATGATTTTGATTAGATTGTATTTGCTTTCTGTAGGTGTTCCTGCCCTTCCTATACATTTGAAAGCTAAGCTGAGCAAGCCCCTGTGCATTCAATAGCAGCCCAGGGATCCCTCTTCCCGTGATCGCCCAGACAGACCATCCCATTTGCGTTGGGGGGGGTCCAGACTAATCAGGCTCCAACATGAACAGGTGAGAGGGATGACTCCTTAGACCGAACATTCCAGAGGATCCTAAGCCGGGACTACAGCTTCTAGACCAAGGCCTCAGTTCATGAAGGGCCTTGTAGGGCCTGACCTCGTTGGACTTTACAGCGAAGTACGTCGTCTGCCCGCGCTCATGACCACTAGTAAGATTTGCAGTGGGACTCTACAGCTGGTGATGCCTCTGACAATTGTGGGCACTTCAAACCTCAGCTGGCATGTCTTTCATGAAAGCTTTTCCGACCAACAAGCTGCAAAAGCTGGCAAGAGGTGAACTCCTTCTACGACTCCTGGCAGATGGGGCAAATCCTTGAGATGCCAGACTCCTGCACCTTCAAGAAGAGCCTTCATCAGCAAGCTGGAGAAGTGTTATTTTGGCTGCCAAAATAAGAGGCAGTAGCGCTAAGTCCAAAAGCATAAGGCGTAGCGGCGTTGTCGCTTCAAAGCCTGATCCCTGAACCAGTACGTAGCGTTACGCAAGGAACATGCCTGTGGCTCAGGAATTGCACAGAGCAGCAGAAGACTGCTCAGCACGCACTGCGTAACTCGCTGGTGGGCAATCTCTCGTCAGTCAAAGCCCCTTCCTCCTACTTCCTATATAGTTCCTGGGCAAGGATTCCTGAGGTGTGCAGTGCTCAGGCATTGCTGAGGGCTTGCAGGCCTTCTACCTCCGCCATACTAATTATATCCCCAGTTAGGACTAAATGGGAGCTTAGCTTCGGGCTTACGACATAAGATATATCATTCACAGATCGTATATGTGTGAGGGGCAAGGCGTGTCCTGTTTGAAGTGTGGGCTGTGAAGCGCAAGCATGAGCATAGTTCTCAAGGTCAACGGGCCTGGCTTAGCGATTTTGGTTGTATTCATTACCTTTCTTTTCAGCGTTTAGAAGTTTAGCATGTGGCCCCTTGACATTGTCCTCCGGCTCCTCCATGATAGGGCTCAAGCTCCCGAGTCGCAGTAGCTCGCTTCGTTTGGCCACCCATTCTTTTCCTCAGCGGTAGAGCTTCCAATGAATGCTTCTGTAGCTTGGCGACTGGCCCATCACAGAAGACAAGATTACCTCAGAGCATCGGAACTGTAAGCCCAATGATGCTCAAAGCTTCATGCACCCTTAGCCACTCCCTAAATCGCCAAGAGCTTAATTAGTCCTGAAGCTTGGCCTCGATCAGGGACTCACTTCCCCAAATTGCCAAGCTGCGGGTTACCCTTGTTTTGAGAAGCGGCAACTTTCAAACTGTCCGACTGCCTCCGCCGAAAGTCTCTCAAGAACCCTGAAGCCTCAGCAGAAAATCTACTAAAAGACCTGAAGAGCCAAGCCAAAGGCTGCGTAAGCCATTGCCAATATCTCAATTTGGACTACGGCTGGACCAGGCTTGACTCTTGGCGATCGCTTCACGTGTTCAATCTTCGGTTGTATAGGGAGGGTTGAGGTGTGGAACGAGAGGAGGGATTGACGATCATACGTCAATAGCTAGAAAGCAAGCGATATCTGTAGCCTAATGATGTCTGCTTGTTGCGCCCTCAGTCTATACCAGTCGCCATCTGCCCGTAAAAATGTTAATCTGAAGAGCTATGTTATCCGACATCTAATGCCACAGCACGGCGGGTTCGACGAAGGGAGGAGGGAAGTCCTTGTGAGCCTTTCAATCCAAGAGGCTTTCAATGTGCTCTAAGAAGTTCAGCCGCAAGCCCGAAAAACGACCCAGCAGGCTGACCTCTGGCAACTTGACCCTTCGCGATGCGTTCATGTCTTGGTCGCTGGGCTTCTTTGGTAGAAGGCTGGCATGAGGAATATATCTTGAAGGCTCCGTATACCGAGTTTCCTCCTCGGGGCATCCCTCGTGGGAAGCGATGAATTCTGCAAGAAGGTGCTATGATACTGGCTTATGATGGGGAGGGAGTCGGCTTTTGGGTTTGCTTAGCCGTCCCCCAATTGGATCCCTCCCTCTCACGTCCTGGCATTGATTCCCTTGGCTGGGACAGACGATTTTTAGTTGAAACTTCGCTTTTCATTGTTCAGAAACTCCCTGAACCTATGGAATGATTAATGCAGAAACAACCACCGCATAGCTGACACTATATTTCCAAGATCCATACAACTTCTTCTAATCCTCTTAAGTTCAAGCACCTGGAATTATGTAGTGCTTGCTAAGACAGTCATGGAGTCATTCTGTGGTGGATGATTCCTACACAAGTCTTGGTCACCAGCCCTAGGTTCCATGGTGGATCCAGCTTCGTGGCCGCAGCCACGGAGGAGCCGAACGAGAATCCAACCTGCTACCTGATCTCTTTGCAGTATATGGTTTGCCTGACGTATTAGCTTGCGAAAGGTGGTTTTCAAAATTGTGAATTCCTTGCTTTCTGGGGGATCCGCGAAACATGCCCGTAAAATGCAGGAAGATCCAAGCATGGTTCGATCTTCGGCGTAGACTTTCTTAATTAACAGTTGCAGTTGCAGCGGCAATGATGCAGCCAAACTGGCTGTAGAAAGCAAAGTGGTAGCCAATAAGTAATTGACTGACGAGCTGAGTGCGTGTATGGCAACTGAAATAGCCGGGATAGAAGCCACACGAAGTATTTTGTAGTTGACTGCGAGATCGCAGCAGGGACAGCCGCTCTGTCAGCAAGGTTGAGAAAACAAACGTTGGTCGAATTGGTAGCCACACTGAGTACTCAATAGGAAGTCATCTAGGGACCATTATCCTGAAACAGAATGATGTTCTAGACTTCATTCCTTGTGGCTTACCCTGGCAGCTCAACTGCCTCGGGCTTGGGATTTCAGGGCCATAGGTTGGCAGGGATCCCATGCTGAGTCTGCTGAGTATCTTGCCTAGAGGGATGAGGGCATGGCTATGAGATTCCTGTATTGTGGCATTGAGGTTGGTGTTCGCAAGTTCAGGTTTCCCTTTTGTGCGATTATCTGCGCATATTAACGGCCTTTGAGTTTTGCAATGGGACTTATCTTTATGGTGCTGCATGCAGCATCCTAGCTAAAATCTCATCCCCTACACCAATACCCCCAGCAGCACATCAGCGTAAATCAAGAATATTTCTGCGTCCCAGCCCAGGCTGGCCCCTGCAGAAGGCAAAGCGATCTTCCAGGGCAACAGTGGTCTTCGTGTGAGGCTGCAGACAGATGGCCGCACAACTAGGCCCCCAGATACAGGGGTTTGCTTGGCAATTGGCAGCCGCAATATGGAGAATGGTAAGTAAGTGTATGATTGCTGCAGACTTTGCATTGAGGAGTTCCTATCGAGCTGCAAAAGGGACGACGTCGATTTTCTTGGGGGCCTGTACCTAGGAGCGTGTGAGGGTGAAGTGTCACTTAATGCGGCTTTACTTCTCATGCAGCGCAGCCGAGTTAAGGTCTAGCACGCTTGACAGATTAGAGATTAGGGGTGAGGAGAGTAGTGGATTAGGCTCCAGGTGCTGCTGAGAGGGCGGCATTTTGGAGTCGTTTCGTTTCACGAGGCACTGAGTGCCTTCAGGTGACCCAGGCAGATGTCATGGTCTCAATTAATGGGCGCTGCAAAGACCAAGAGGAGGACAAGCACGTTCTCCAAGTTGAGACCAAGGCTTCTGTCTGGTGACCAGTGGGCGTAGGCCGTAGCCGTCAAGGCTGATTTCAGGTGCCGGCGTCTGAACAAAGAGCGGGCAGGCGTTGAAGTTGTTTGCAGCGAAGTCGCAGAGAAATTCCTGTGGATCAGACGCACGATACAGGAGGCAAACCTGAGTGGATTCAAAGTTTGATCGAGGAACGTTTCTTAAGGTTTTCTGAGGCAGTTCGTTCCTTCTGCGGGAAGTATTTCGCCCGAATTCTTGCCTTTGGATCCTGCCGAAGCTTGATGCCCCGCAATAAGCCATCAATCTTCGCAACTAAGAAACAAGAACAAGCCTGCATCCTGAACCCTGGGCCTTCAACACAAAATCCTTCCTTGCGTCCTGAATCTCCAGCCCCGGACCCTGCACCACACTTGCCTGACAGGTGGACTCCCTCACGTTCTTGACTGCGAGGTCGGTGAGTGAGGAAGTACTAGCCATCAGTAGCCATCTAAGCTGGGCAGGATCTCAAAACGGAGCGCTGAACGCGTGACACGTCATCCTGTTACCATTGCTGAGTGGTTTTGGCCATGATCGCGTCGGAAGGTTTATGTGGTTAGGGGTTGGCAAGATGGACCGTTTCCACACTAAGGTGGCGTCAAGCCTTGTAATTTCGCCTTGTGCCCTATGCTGTCCGAATGAAAACTCTCCCATTCGGAAGCAGCATGAAACATCAGTTGTATTTATGCAAGACCTTGTAAGAGCGCTGAGTCGGGCTGATCCTGCTGCCGGGCTTGATGCGAAGTATTTGGAGGCCATGAATGGGATAGCTGCGTGCAACTGCGAGCGCCAAAAAAGTCTTTGGATCAACTGCCGTCAAGGAAACAAGCACGAGCAATAGGCAGAAGTTTTATACGTGCGGGCGCTATGGAAATTATGTACGGCAAGAATAAGACTCAGCATCAAGAACTTCTGCAAGTAAAGCTGGTATACATTTGCGGCTAGCTCAAACTGAGGTTCGTCTATCTGTACTTCACGCTCGGCGCTGTTGCCATCAATCCGCGACAGGCCTTGTCGAGCATTTGTTTTCGCGTGGGGGGGTGGGGCTCAGGGCTGCAATTACCAATGCGGTGATCCTCGTGCCACGGGCAGTGATTCCTGGAGAGCAGGACTTAGAAGCAAGTGTAATGCCAGAGTACATGTCGTAGATTGGGGATGGTGGGGTAGAGCCAACTAGCCTGCACGAATTCTGGGTATACTTGCTTGCCCACATGGAATGATGCCCCCAAATGCCTTGCCTGGTCCGGTCCAACAGCCGCAGCTCTTCTTGAAGCGTTCTTGTTCATGCCTGGGTGCTGCTCTCACCTTGGAGTAAGCTCCAGAGTTTGCAGTCGCCAGGCATTCCATCTAGAGACTTTCCTCATTACATCTACCTAACATAATATGTCATGCCTTGCTTCTGATAGCGTTTCGGCTCGGGCCGCCGTCCTTTGAAAAGCAGCCGGTCGAGCTCTGTGAGCCATGGGGCGCGAAACTTGTCCGCAACTAGCGTCAGTCAAGAGAAAGTCGATTAAGAAGCATGGCTGTGTTAGAAGTGTGGGGCTCAGAGATAATTCACTGTCTTTTGCTGCTGCTGGAATTTCCCGGCTTGCGCTGCAAGCAGCCTGCTCTTTTGAAATCGGGCCGCCGCAAAGAAATGCTGTACTTCCACCGGGGCATGCCAAAGCGAGTTGTTGAAACCATTTTTGAACTTGGCTTTGTGACAGATGTGCTTCATCTTTGCCAGGCATTAGTTGGCTGTCTTCTATTTGCTGCTTTGAGACCGTCGTGGCCGCCACCTTGGCATGTTGTCTTTAGCACGTTCACTCGCGGGGATATCCATCATTGCCTGGTCCATGCACGTTAAAGTTGAGCACTCTATCTTCCTGCAGGGATAGGAGCACTTAGAAGAAAGGGATTTGGTTGGATCCGTTGCTTGCAGAAATCAGTCAAACTTGTAAATCCACTGAGCCGTTGGTGTTTGTCTAGCACCCATTTGCCTTCCCTAACTGGCGCGCCTCCTGCCAAGCCCATAATTCTTCTTGAGACTTGGAGTGCTTGACTCTTTCTGGCACATGGAATCCGCCACCACGGATTCATGTAGTTTCTCCTTGCAAGCCCACAGAGCTCCTTCACAAGCCCACGGAAGAACCACCCCCAAAAGTTGCTGACAAGGTCGCAGCTGGCGATTCCCGAAGACATGGAGTGCCAGAATGGCCCGCATGCGGCCGTGTGGCAGTCTGCCACTTCGCCACGCAAGTCAGGAGTGCGTACAGGGAAGGGGATGGTAGCCACTGCTACGCGAGGACGAGCTTTTCTGTAGGGCAATGAGCTGGAATTGAGCTTGGGTTCAGTGCCCAAATTGATAGTAGCAGGGGCAGAGGGGCATCCTTGAAAAGGATGTTTTCCAGAGGATGTATATTGCTGTGAGTATCATTTGCACTGCTTTGTCTTTGCCGTATGCTACGTTATTGCCTCATTGTGCACCAGCAACCCTCAAAAATGATTTTTGCATTTTTTCAGCCTGACCAAGGTGAAGAAGTCATTTCGCGCGCTGCTAGAGGAGACGCCCGGCGCAGTGCAGCTCGTTCGCATCGCTGCGACAGCTTTTGAAAGTTATCCTTCAAGGGGGCAGTAGGCAATAAATATAACCCCTATATGATCCCAGCTTCCATTTCATTTTCCATTTTCTTTTCCATTTGATTCTCCATTATTGGGGTAATTTTGGGTACCATAAGGATAGTCACGCCAATTTCTCTGCCAGGCCGCCAGGCTGACCCGACTTTTCAGCTCTGGTCCTGCTTATGTCGTGCCATTTAATCTGGGGCTTTGACACAGCAGCAGCGTTCGTAAGCAAATGAGATCTGATTGTGCTGTTCTGCCACACCAGTAGGATGGTGTGTCAGAGAGAGAGAGAGATGGAGAAAGACAGAGAGAGGCAGGGAGGGAGGGAGGGATGAGGGAATGAGAGAACTACACTGGCTTCGAACACGAGAGACTCGCAGGTGGAGAACCTAAAGATAGAGATCAATTGTCGTTGAGCCGTGTGCCTGTGGTGAACATAGTTCTGCAATGACGCACAGCACTTTGAGCCATCCAGACAACGAAGGTTCAATCCGACTCTTGGTTGCAAGTGGACCGACGCCCGCAGCAGAGGTTGCTGTAGCAAGGTTTCCCTTTCAAAAGCCCATGCATGGTGTCGTGGGTCCAGGCTTATCCTCCAAGCACCCAACATCTCCCAACCATTCTCCACTTCAGGATTCCAGCTGACAAATTGAAGGAGACAGTGGACAAGAGCGTCGCCCAGGTCAAGGCAGGACTTTGGTTAATCTCTGGTGGGGGAGAGGGGTGTCTTGGGCGGACCGTCTGAGTGCTCTTGTTTCAGCAGGTATATACGGTAAAGGACGCAGGGAGAAGAGAGTTTCCCCATATGAACTAGCCAGGCAAGGGGGGCTGCAGTCCAAGTCGGTTTGCATCGAAAGTTAAATGCTGGCCTTATGTGGGCAAACCCATGCTCTCACACTGCATACCAGTCACTTAAGCCTCAATTGTAAAATTTCGGCTTGAATCTGAACCCGTGAACGCACAACCTGCAACCTACACCCGATTCCCAATGCCCTTGCCCTCAATCCTGGAAGCCTTGAAGCTTGAATTAAATATTCATTGACCCTACTACTTGTCCTCTAACCCTTGAATCCACGATTCCATGACTCCCTGAACTCAGAACTTTGTCTCCATCGCCAACTCCCTTGCATACCGCAACATTCAGCGAAGGCAGCCGGCGGCTTTGACAACCTCTCTGCCAACGAGTGCGGACCAGGAATCTAGATGCATTCTAATATTCCCGAAATATATCCCCGCAGACCGCCTAGCAAGGAAAGGGAGAGTCAGCTTTGGCGGGGAAGACTGTTCTCAAGAGGATGGATGAATACAGCACAGGCTTCTGGACCTCCCCGGATGGAGTCCTGTGACAACGGCCCATAAACAGGATCCCTCATTCAGCCACACAGCCCCAACTTCACAATCTTACTTCTTATATCCCAAAGTCTTGTTGTAAGGAGGTGCTTACTGCATATAGGACTATCTTGGGTGTATGTTTGGATTTTATATGTGTGGATACCCATAGATATATATATATATGTATATATATATATGTATGTACAGCAATTCGTGCCCAGCGGCACCTTACGTGCTGTGGTTAGCAGGGGAAGAGGGGATGTAGAGCACAACGGAAACTTCACAATTTGGGAGTTTCAATGGCGCCACAGGCAGACATGCCTCCATTCCCCACTAAGAACCTGTAAGCCCAGAGCCTACATAGTAGCTTCCCCTTTGCTTTCCATTCCTCCAAGCCCTACTGAGAACCAGCAACAGGAAAGATCGCCATACAGCTCTTCTCAGCTGCATCCGGCATGCTTGCGGCGGGTTCATCCCTAGACATCGTAGTCTAGAGTGAATTTTCCATGTAATATTTGATTCTCCACTATCCCTTCTGGGGTGTTTAAGACTTCGCTACGTATGCCTCATGAAGGGGTGTTGCACAAA